GGGCAGGAGAGGTCTGCTGTGCCATGTGGGTCACCTGCCTTGCAGGGGATCAAACTCGCACTGCAGTGGCTGCAGTAGCTTCATAGTGCTGTGCTTTAAGCCATTCCACCATCAAGGAGGGTCCCAAATTTCACAGGACTTTTAATTTCAAAAGATAACGGCCTACTTTCCTGACGACTCAAAACAAAAGTTTTGGCAATGCTCATTATGGTCTAGGTTGATTTACATGCCTGTCCCTGACCAGGAGAACATAATATTCTGACTGGTACCTGTTTGGTATGGTATGACTGGAGAAAAGGCAGTTCTTGAAGGAGAGTTAGGGTTACCTCAACAAAGTGATGCATACTGGGGAGGCCAAAACAAAAGATACCCACTTTACTAACTATATAGAAATGTTTATGAAAGGAGCTCTACAGATTAAAAATATTTATGCTTATGAAATATTTACCCTTGAGAAAAATCTTAGAAAATTTCTTTACTAAAAAATATTAGATCAACAACAGAAAAGAATGTGATGAGTCATGAAATAACAGAAAAGAACATAAATATGCTAACAGAAATGTGATCAAAATTAGTTGCACTAACCTCACAACTAGTTACTTCAAATAGAGAATACAAGGGTGAGTCCTTTACCAGTGATCAAACTATTTCAAATGTCTTGAGGTTGCTTTGTTCTCAAACAATTGAAATCATCTTCTATAATTGGTATAAATTGGTTTCATCTAGTTGTCAATGTTGGTTTCTAAATTTGTTTGAAAGATCATTTTGAATGCTCAGGATGTTTACCTTGCGTATAGGACTTCCTTGTTGAGAAGCACTACCTTGACTTTCCAGCTGTGTTCAAACCTCAGTTGCAGGCCTTCAGGCCAAGTATTTGCCATTTCCTCTTGCTGGAGTGTTCATTGTATCCCCATGCACTGCAACTTTTCTCTAAGTTTGCTGTGCTGAACCAAGAAAGAAAGCACATTTAGATTTCCACAGAAACTATGATTCCATGAAAGATTTGGGGGATTGAGGAAGCCTGGTATCTTTCAGAGTGCAACCTGATCATAAAACCATAAAGGATTTCTTTGGGATGGCTTCCATGGCAGTTGTCACTGACTTGTACTCCTCAACTATGAAACATGAATACTTTGGCTAAGAAATAAGTCCTAGTGATAAAACAATTAAATATTGAGGGGGGGAGATGTTTACCCTGACTTGGGTACTAGATATTAGCAAGGACTCTGCTCTCCTTCCTTTGTTTTTCCTGCTACCAGCATCTGGTTTCCTCCAGTAGTGACAAGGTTTGTGGACTGTACAGCTGATGTCTCAGCTCGACCCTGTGGTACAGAATGGAGTTAAGTTTGCTTCCTTTTCAGAGGCAGGATATGCTCATTAAAATAATAATAATAATAATAATAATAATAATAATAATAATAATAATAAAAGAGCACAAGTATTACACAGGGTAATCAGAGTAAAAAAATTAGTTTCTAGATACACCCCCTACATATATATAATTTATTTCCAAACAAAGATGAGATTAAAACTTAAAGTAAGTGTTAATATTTTCTTCTTACTCTTAGGCTCTGCACATTTATGCTCAATTTTGTGGAGAACTGACTTTAGAGAAATACTCACACATACACCCATAAAGGTGAATGTAACAATATTTACTGAGACACTTATTTAATAATGAAAAAATTAGAAGCAACGTAAATACCCACTAACAGGTAAATGAGTATTTTAATATTAATTCAATGAAGCATATGTATTCAAAGTTATACCTTAAGAAGGTTAAAAGAACTGAATTAGAACTATCCATATGACAATATATAAATCTCAAAACAATGTTGAGGAGCAAAAGAAGGTATAGCATGATAATGTACTGTATGAGACTATTTACCTGTTAATACTAAAATACCAACATGTTAAAAGCATGTTAAACAACCATATGCATTACATATACACAGTAGTAAGTACTCATGCTAGCCAACTAAAAACAGCAAAATCAGGATAATGGTTACTTTGGAAAGGGAAAGAGAGAATTGGGATTGAGGAGGAGATGACAGTCACAATTAAGATACTGCTGATATATCACCATAACAAGCTGGGGGGTGGTTAGGGAGGTGTGTGGGAGGATCGTTTGGAATGAACAAGAAGGACAAGGACAAGGAGTATACTTAATTCACGACAAGATTCAGTGGGAGTAGGGATACAAAGGAAGAGGGAGAGTATTGTCATTTAGAAGACGAGAGTTGAAGGGATCATTCAGCAAAGAGGGCAAAGATACAGTAGATGACCAACCATGAGTTCCAAATGAGTAAATATGAAAGGATTAACAAAAAGCAAGACTTAAAATGTAAGTAATCATTGTATAAATCCTCTGCAAAGTGTATGGTGCTGCATAAAGGTAAGGCCCCCTTACTACCTCTTTACCTGCATGGATTGAAGAAACTCCATTTTGCTTTCAGAGTTTTCTTTACAGTAACTGGTAGTTTCTAAATTGGTAATATTCTTTTCTAGCTTTATTAAAGTTTTTGCTTTATGGTCCCTCTTAGTGCTGTGTTTTAACCTGCTGTGCCACCAGGGAGGGCCTATGGTCCTTCTTATATTCACTAAATATCATTTCTAAATCTGTCTGGGGAGAGGGAAAACCCTCCTTTAGATAAAACACTTCATCATGCAATTCTAGTTGCATAATTTTCTATTACTCTGTCTGTCTTAAACACAGATATAATGACGGATTTTAGACCTGGAAGACCGCGTAAAGACTATATGATACGATCTCCTCATTGGAAGACCGTGTAAAGACAATATGATAGGATCTTCTCATTTTACAACTGACCAAGGGTTATGTAGTTTGTCAAATTTAATTGTCTTGCTATTCCAAGAGTCAGGACTAGAATCCATACCTCCTCTCCTACTTCCTTATGTTACTTTATACAGCACAAACCTGGAAAGTAGTTGATATGGCAAACTACATGTTGGTGGTTGAGTATAGGTTCTGATGTTAGACCATCCAAGTTCAAGCCTTAAATTTGATACTTTATTAACTGTGACTTTGGCCAAGTAATGTACCTACTCTGTGCCTCAATTTACTCCTCCATAAAATTGAGGGCATAATTGTACCTACTTCATAGATGTGAGAAATAAGTGAACTGAAAGTACTGAAAGCACATAAAGTGCTCTGCACATAAAAAAGTAACAAGAAATCTAAACTATTGTTTCTATTTAGCACTTACTCTGCTAGCTGTTGATATAGCAGATTAACAGAAACGAGCTGTTTTGTTCAGTTTTAGGTACAGAGTTTAAGAAAACAAACCAAATCAATCAATCAACCAACCAACAAAATAAAGCCACACTAAAGATGTTTATAAATCAGAATATTTCACATAGAGATCCAATTTCCTTAAAAATTGGAAGGTCTGACATCTAGGCCAGAAATCTGATGCAGTAACAATTGGCTAGAGCTAAAAGCAGTTGTCCATACTACTCACAAAATGCACTGCATATACTTACACCTTTCCAGTTTCTTTTAAAATTTATCTACTTGATGACTGCATGCCTTCCCAGATTGAGGACCCCTGCCACCAAGGATCTAAAAATCAATAGTTGAGTGGCATCCTCAATAATTCACAACACTTGTGATAGAAACGAGTGCAAAGCACACAGTGAAACAGTAGCCTGAAGGAGTATGAGTACTGAATGGTATAACAATATGCTATCAAAATAAATAACTTTGAAAAAAGAATGAAAAGTGGTTGCAGGATAGGATAAGAAATGGCATTAAAATGGGAAACTGTTCAGCAACTGGGAGGTTCGGTTTTAGAGAATATAGTAAGATGGAGAAAAGTAGGCTGACACTTTATAATAAAAACTCTTTAATTTGTATTTTACCCAAAAGGTGAGAGAGAGAGCTCTTGAAATGTATCATTAATTTCTAGATCTAACTTTAACTAATTGTGCTTGGATACCCTCATTTTCATCTAGCAAACATCTTTGAGAAAGAACTGATTTAAAATCCCCAACAGTCTGTAAAATATCTTTAAGTAACAAATTGCCACTTCAAGAGGAAGCCTTTTCTCTCTTTACAATGGAAACAGTTTTTAGATTTGTCTGCAAATTAAGTTTCTTCATCTATTAGAGGGGGATAATAACACCTACCTGAGAGCAATAGAGAGTGACTATAATCCATGTTAAAGGTCTTACCACGGGTACCCTATACAGAATAAAATTGGCTACTTAACAAGGTATGAATATAAGGGGTTTTCTTGTCTTTTACCCTGTCATTTGAGAAAACATGGTATTTCGTTAAGTGAAACAACTGAGCTCAAAACAAGGCTGGTGGTACTCAGGTTGTATTTGGAGCAAAAAATACTAGATGGCTTCCCTTCTATACTGTTGCAGAAATTTCAAGAACAATTTAAAGATTTTTGTGCAACACAGTGCAAGTTATCTTAGCAGTTTCTAATTCAATGTAATAGTTTATTAGTGGCAATATAGATGCTTAGGCAGAGGAGCCGTTTCTCCAGGTCTCCCAGATTCAAAGAGCAGGGAAAATACCCTTGGGCAAAAAAAAAAAAACAAAAAACCAAAAACCAACCAGCCAACCCTTCTCATATCTCACAGAGAATCTTGGATAGTCTGCGAGCTCGAACGGACAATCACTTGGCGGGAAAAAGGTTCATACAGCCCCAAATTCTCACAATCTGTTACTGTTTATTTTATAAGCTGCGATAAAGTCAGTCAGCTTTCGTGCCTTGTGGGACTTGAAGTCCAGAAGGAAGAAAGGCTTCCCGGCTGCTGGAGCATGGAAGGTGGTAGCCCCGGGAAGACTGAGGAGGAAGGACTACAACTCCCGGCAAACACCGCAAGGTCGCGCCGTAATTGCGAGCAACCAACCGTGCCGAAGCGGCGCAAGCCCCGCCCCCTGGTTCAGAGGCCTGTCTCCGCCAATGGCAGAGCTCCCAGTGCAGGCTCTGCGGGTTAGGTTGTGAGGCTGCAGCCGGGGGCGGGGAGGAGCCGAGGGGATTCGGAGTAAGCTCGGCCGCCGGGTGGGTCGGGGCGTTAGGCGCGCCCTTCATTGAAGCGGCGGTGGCCGGGTTGGGCGCTGTGAGTGAGAAACGACGGCGCGGCTGGAAAATGCCAGTCCATTCTCGAGGGGACAAGAAGGAGACGAACCATCACGATGAGATGGAGGTGGACTACGCCGAAAACGAGGGGAGCAGCTCCGAGGACGAGGACACTGAGAGCTCGTCTGTTTCCGAGGATGGAGATAGCTCAGGTGTGCGACCCTGCTGGACCGGGACCTTGCGTCCCCGCGCGGGCGCGCGACAGGCCGCTTTCTGCACGCCGGGCAGCTGCGTCCTGCTGGGAGAGTGGGGCGGGGAGAGAGGGAAGGGGCGGAGACTGGCTCCTCGCGGCTTGGCAGCACCCGTCGGTCGCTGCTGGGCTCCGGGCGGGTCCCGGTAGCCGAGGCAGGCTGGGCGGGGCGCGGGCCTGAGCTCGCCCGGCTCCCGGACGCTGCGCGGTCTAGCTCGCTGCGTTCCGCTCTGGGAACCTCTGGGCTGTACAGACAGCTGTGGGCCGAAGCTTGTCTAAGGAGACTTTGGAAATGTCGCCTCTCCCCAGACCACCGACCTCTTTCCTTGTTATTGACCTTTGCAATCCTTGTTTCTCTGCATGTGTGGGTTGTCAGGACCGAGGGTAGTTTTGTACCGCTTTCTGGGCTGACTTAGATCTCATTAACATCAGCTTTTCAAGTCAGCCTGTCAGTTAGCTTTTGACATCTGTGCTTTTTTCGGGGGCTCACTTGGGAGCTGTCCGGTTTATGGTAACTCCCTGAACTTTTCAAGACAGAGATATCAAGGGTGATTTTGTTTATAAAATCGTCTGGCTTTCGGGCAGCTTTGAAGTTTTCCAAACCTTTTTTTTTTGGATTTTTTTTTAAGGGGGGATGGAGGATGGGTGGGAAGTGCAGTAACACCTTAAGTCAGTTTTGCAAACTTTTAGGTATAGTTATTAAAAAGGAAGTGGACTTTGTGATTACCTTTTTTATTTTCCTCCTCCAATTGAGGAGGATGAGACATTTCTTTGTGTTGACTATAATCTAAAGCAAGGATTGATAATGACAACCCACTGTCACCTGATGCCCTCTCCTGAGGTTTTCTTTTCAAAGTAAATCTTCATGGAAGGATGTAATTTCTCAATCAATAAATCAGCCATCTAAAAAAATGAGCTTTATAAGTAACTTCTTTGTGCAGCATTGGACACTCTCTGTGAGGTATAAATAAATAGTTATACCTCAAAGAGCTGTCATAAGTCACCAGGTGATTAAATTTCCAAATGAATGCTTTGCTATAAATGCTGTAGAAATTTGAGACTGAGGAAGTATTCAAAATAGGGTGATCAAAAAGGTTAGTTGAAGAGGTGGGATTACCTTACTGATCTTGAATGAACAGAATTTGGATTGGGGTGGTATTGATAAGATGCTTCTATGCGGGAGGTATGTAAGAAAAAGTGCAAAGGCCAGAAATTAAGACATTTAAAAAAGAGAGACAACCAGTTTGGTTGGGATAAGAACCTGAACAAGTAAAGGAAAAGGAAGGTATGGGTGTGAATGATTTTTTAAAAACAAGGCAGGATTGATGAGTGCATGTTACCTTCTTAGGAAGGTAAGTGGAAAAACAAAATCAAGGAGAAAGGTGGTAGCATGCACAGAAATAGAAAAGTAAAAGATTCAAGATAAAGAAGGAAGATAAGAGTATTTCAGACATAATGCTTTTGAGGTTATGGTGTTGTATGTAATTAAGAGTGCCCCACTGATGTGTGACATTGGAACCTTGAATGACATAGAAGCCTTCATGAAAACAGGGGAAATTTAAAAAAAGACTATAGAGCAAAGAACACCTAGACTGTATGTGAATATATTATTTTCTATGTCTGTAAAACATTTTATCTTCATGTTCGATGTATTTTTGATAGGATCTTGGATCTTGCAAAATGACAGCTGTTTGTTAAAATTCTTCCCCTCTAATTAATGTTGACTGTACAGTGATTTTTAACTTTCTTTCCATTCTAGAAAATGACCGGTAATTTGTGAGGCATGTCATAATTTGAACATCAAATCAAACTTTTTAAGTGCAAAGAAATTGTTTTAGTAAAATTTGCATTTTTTCCTCCTGTAAAATCAGCTCTTTTCTACCACATCGCTTGCATGTTAAACTTACCTGTTTTTTTCTTCTCCCCTCTTGGTACTGAGCAGGTCCTAAGGCTACAGGAAAACTTTTATTATTCAGAATTGTTGAGTGAGTTATTTTGAAGGACCAAGGTTTAAAAAGTCAAGGAGTAAACAGTAAACTAGAAATAATTTCAGTCTTTTTGAAAAGTTAAAAAAGAATCCTATACTTTTCTTGTTATATGAAATAACTGAACATGATTTGATGTTTTTTCATAATGTGACCTTTATTTGATAATCAAGCACGAATCATTTTGTGTGTCAATTATTTTGATGTATTGACTGTGTGTGACATAAATAGAAGATATGGAATATAGGACAGACATGAGAGGAACAGGACAGGCTTGGTAGTAAGACTTGCTTTCCTTAAAAAGTTTGCTTGATTTTCTTATCATTTTCATCTTTCTTACTGAGTTACAATAATCTGGAGAGAGGGAACAGTGGGAGCAATGGGAGTACAAGAGCAGGAGGTCAAGATATCATGTGAACAGCATAATGAGGTTTTTTCCTAAGATTGATTTATTTATGCGTAAAACAACTGGGTGTAGGCCAGAAATGCAGGGGGTGAGAAGATTCAGCTCAGAGTGGGGAGCAAGAACAGGTAGATTTATTGTAATGCACTGCTAAAGCAGTGGGTAAGATAGGAGAGGTCTGCTGTGCCTTGTGCAGGTCAGCTCCCTGGGCCACTGGGGTGATAGGGCTGAGAGTTAACCCCGGCACCACCAGGGAGGCCCTGAGTTTTCTTATCTATGTGACTAGCAAGTCAACCAAGAGAGCAGTATAAGAGTAATTCAAAAGTGTTTTTGAACTATATTAACTTTTAAAGGACAATTATTTTAATGCTTAAGTTGTAGTGAATTGGTGGAAAACAAGTTAAAAGTGGATTAATTCAGAGACACAGCTGATAGTCAGCTCTTGAAAGTGATTTATAAAAAACAGAATGAGCAATTGCTGTAACTAAAAATTTCACCTGCATTTTAGGTTGAAATTGTGGAAATTATTTTTTTTCTTAAGGGTTAATTATATATATGATAAGCCTGTATTTAACTTCACATTACAAGCTTTTTTCCCTTTATTTTTTAAGCCATTTGAATTAACATTCAGATATATTTGAAACAAGACTAATTTTACCTTTTTTATTTGTTTTTTTATTAAAAGAAATGGATGATGAAGACTGCGAGAGAAGAAGAATGGAATGTTTAGATGAAATGTCTAATCTTGAAAAACAGTTTACCGATCTCAAAGATCAGTAAGTAGTGACTTCAGAAGGTCATTGCCACTGGATCTCAACCATATCCCACAAATACTAGCATAAGAGACATGCTACTCTGTGAACTTCTTTTTTGTATTTCATGGGACTGACTGATCTGAAAGGCTTCAACTGTTGTTGTTGTACATTTCATTTACTGTTGAGGGTTTTGAGGCAGGTTTTTTGGGGCATATAATGAGATTTCTATGTGGATGTTGGTAATTGAGATGGTTTCCCTGGGTTGTTGCACTTTTGGTTGCAGTCAACCTCATGCATTCCTTTGTTAAAAACTGGATATAGGTAGCAATTTGAAAAATCGAAAATAAAAGAGAATATTTCCCAAAGATGGCATAGTCGTTTTTGTTTATATCTTATATTGAATAGTGCGTACATGGCATGCCATCATATGGCTTATTTAGTTTACTTCTTGCAGTGACTCTGCATGGTTTGGAAAATAGATGGACTTTTCTCCATTTTTCCCTGTGAGAAAAGTTAATTTCAGATAAGTAATGTGCTTATTATTCATCAGGGAAGTGATAAATTAATCCAACTTTTCTGTCTTCTAGTGCTATAATGTTTCTTCCACTAAAACATAAGACCTTGGAGGAAATGCAGTGGAATAGAAAGTGCATAGGCTCTGAGTCCATCTTTCTAGAAAGATTAAAAAGGCATAATAATCACTTCTGTATCTTATCTACGATAATAATTGAGATGAACAATATATAAAATTCTTAGCCATTTGCCTGGCATGTAAGTAGGTGCTTATTAGAGATTCCCGTCCTTTCCTTCTTTCAAGTGCCAGAACTCTTATGTAAAATTAAAAATACAAAATAGATGCAGATAGAGATACATCTTAATTTATTCAGAAGCTTGCTTTTCCATTTGTTAATTCTCCATAATTTTTCTGCTTGTTCTTTTTCTTCTACTTCTTCTCTAGACAATCCCAAAGAAGAGGTGAAGTACCATGCTTTCTCATGGTTTGCTAGGACTACTACTTAGTTCTTGCTTCCAGCTTCATTCATTTCTGCTACCATTATTTAATAGGATCCTTTTTCAAGTAATTGAAACATATATTTTAGAAGAAAATTAGTCTTTATACCAGGCTTATAATTATCTAATTTCCCCCTCCAACTCCAATTGCCTTGTTTGATATTTTTATCTTTTAATGTGTATCTCTGTAAGCTATGACAAATCCTTTTCAGAAGTGGGAAGCAGAAAAATGATGATGGTAATAATAATAATAAAATTACCCTGCTTTTCCAGTTTCTAGCACCACAGGGCACATAGCATTCCTTTCATAAGGCAGAAATTCCACTATTTGTAGTTCATATAATGGTGGAAGGTAAATTCTTTCACCAACTTAAAAAGTTAGAGGAAGTTTTAGTTCATTTCAGTGTTTAGTAGCCACGAAACAAATTGAGCATCCACTATGTGAATAGTGTTATAATTGCTGCTGAGGGACTCATAGTTCTTGCCTTTGATGTGTTTCATATTTAAATACCAAGCTTTAGACCTTATACTGACTTTGAAATCTTTTAAAAGAGTAGTTAATAAAAACTGAATTATTAATGCACATTTCCTCTTAACTGAAGATGCTCTTTACCTATTTAGGATACTAATTTTGTGTAAATTGGTGTTTCTAGCTAAGATTTTTACCATTATGGCAAAAGTTGTATTTCTGATTTCAAAAATATAAGTATGTTTGCTTTTCTAACTTTACATATTTATCATTGCATATTGAGTTTTACAGAAATGTAACCTAGACGTGATAATATATTGTCAGTTAAGTCAGATAATTTCCCATTTTTTTAAAAAAATATTTATTGCCTTAATGTCTAAACTTGCTTTATTTCTTCAGAATAATCACACAAATCTCTCTGTAATTAGTGATCAATTATAGACAAAATATTGATTGATTTAATTGTATTGATTTATATTTTCAAGATGAAAGACCAGAATTCTACATGAAAGTCAGATACCATAATGGTTTCAAAATCCAACTGCTCGTAATATTAAAATATACAAGCATAATAAATGTTTCCTCTTAGCAGTTACTACATGCCATCCTTGTGACATATCATGACATATTCTTTACCTATGATAAAGTACTAAGTGACAAAAAAAGAATTTATAAAATGACATTAAATTGTTAATCTGCTTTGAAATTTTTAGGATTTCTTCTACATGTCACAAGACCAGTATTTAGAAGTACCTTTCATAAGTAATGACAGTGAATACATTTTGCTGTTAAATAAGAATTAGTTCTATCCTGCCAAAAATAAATATTGGGTTATTTCACATACTCTGTCTTTGATAATCAAGTTAACAATGTAGGTGTGAGAGCTGGCAAATGGAGCATTTGTATGTGGACTCTTATGTGTGATAACAAGGATCTCCTGCCCCATTTTTCATTTGCTCATCCATTAAACAGCTAATTTTGTTGTAACTTCATTTTCCCAAATGAACTGGGTATGTTAATCACAGGTTCTATAGTCATTGGTTTTACTTTCATCACTCTTTCTCTTGGTTCTTTTTAAAATTAAGGACTCTGAATATTCTAATATTACCTCCTTTTTCAGGGAAGGTGGAGAAAAAGCCAGGGAATTCAGTTTTTCGACAACTACTACCCTCTATTCAGAAAGATTTGTTTCTTTTAAACTCAGTGTTTAAGTAATCTTTTTCTTAGAATTGATTTTATTACTTTCAGTTAAAACAAAAATCAGAAGTACCAAAACCAGTAGTTACTTTAGTGGTACTTTTTTTGTGTTTTATAATAACCATTTATCTAAAAAAGAAAAATAGCTACTTATGGTATGTATATAAAATCAAATGATATAATTGAATTCCTCACTTGTGATCAAGGCAAATACACTTGATAGGTTATTAGGATATGAATAACAGAAAGAGATAATGTATAGAAATGGTACATTTTTAGCCTTTTTTGGGCTTATTAAATTAATATCTTAATTTTTGCTTTGTTAAGACTTTATAAAGAACGATTAAGTCAGGTGGATGCAAAACTACAAGAAGTCATAGCTGGAAAAGCACCAGAATATTTGGAACCACTGGCAACTTTACAAGAAAATATGCAAATTCGTACAAAGGTAGCAGGTAGGAAAGTAAAACATCTTTTCCATTTAGTAGAAATGAACTCTTCAATAGATTTAAAAAGTGAATGTTAAGTGAGTGTTAATGAAATGACAAATATATTAGCACTGATCAGAGTATTTCACTATCAGTCAACCCATAATTATTTGTTAAATGCCTGTTACTTTTTCCTTACTGCTATGGGGGATCCAAAAAGAAGTTGTCTACAATGTTGTTGAAAAGATAGTTCCACATGTGAAATAATTAGGAGCCAAAATACTTTAAAAGATACCGTTACTATCTTATCAGATAAATTGAAGTTCAATTTAAGTACTGTTTGTATTTATAAGAGTTATAGGATTTTTTAATTTATAAAGAGATTTTTAAAATATTTGATTAGGGTATTATAAAACAGGGAATTAGCCTTCAACTTGGTAATGTCATGATAACTTTTTGTTTTGGTCATTCATTTTTGGCTGTGATTAAATGAACATCCTGGATTTGTAGTGTTAAATTTCAGTCTTCTGCTTGTAACAGGATTCAGCCATAGAGTACTATTGTAGCATATATCACAGGGATTTTTATATTTAAAGATTAACTTTTTTTGTCTAATTGAAACTAAATTTGAATTAATGGAGGTGCTGATAGTTTTGGGGGGGGTTGTGGCACTAATCTATCCTTTAATACTCACTATATAATAGCTAAGCCATTGCTGATAATTGTTTTTTGTACTAAATTCACCTTTTGTTGAGTGGTTAATATTAAGTCTGCAGAGAAGATACTTAATATATTTTAAGTATACTATCTTTGCATATTTATCAGTATGCAAATATTTAACATGCCATCATTGCATATTGATTAATGTACCCTTAAAACTTAATATGACCAAAAATTTCTTCAATATTCTGAAAGAACTATGTGCAACTTCTTGGATGTTTAGGAAATATTATTTGACTCAATTATTTACTTTTTTACTCTATGGCCTCCTTTAATTTTTAAATATATAGTCAGGTGTGTGAATGTGTTGCTAATAGTAGTTTCAGATATCTGTCCCTTGTCTTTACTGTACAAAACAGAACAACAGTTTAGATCCAACTATGGCATGGAATTTCTTTGCCACTGTTTTTTTTTTCCTTGATGGCATATTTGCATGGTTATGTTGCCTATTTTATAGTATTGCCTTGGAACAGCTAAGTTAAACTCTTGAGTATTCATCCTCTAGTTAAAGCACTAACAGACACTTGAACATTATAGGTTTCATTATATAAGTTTATATACTTAATCCTCTTGGAAGAATTAAACTCTGAAAACAAATTACAGTTACAGATAATGGTTTTGATGGGTATGGTGTCAAGTTACTTTGACTGTATAATTAATGAAATCAATTTGTTCCCTTTATGAGTCCTCAGATTTTTGTTTTCATAGGAAAGAGTTTTTTTTTTTTTTTTTTGATCATTCTCTATCAAACCTTCAGGAGTATTTAGAAAAATGGGATAAAAATTAAAATTTATAGTATAGTTTCTTCCTAGCTCTTAAACTCTTGGCTTTCTAGTCTTCTTTGATAAATATCTTAACTGAGCCTTTTCTTTTCAGATATTAAAGTTAGAATCAATTTTCATTTTCTTCTTGATTCATCTTATAAAGTACAGCTAAGATGGAATTCCTGTAGAGAAGTGACAATGAAACTCATTGCTAACATAATCAGAGTAATTGTGTTTGGTTGCAGGAATCTATAGAGAGCTCTGCTTAGAATCTGTAAAGAACAAATATGAATGTGAAATACAAGCTTCTCGCCAACATTGTGAGGTACTGTTATTTTGCTTAACTTTTAAGCTAATTTAATCTCTTCAAGCCTTTTCTGATGCAGTAATTTAAACAAGTAATTAAGTGAAACAAAATTAAATAGTACTTTAGCTCATCACTTGTGTGATTCTTTTTTTTTCCTTTTTTTTTTGAATACAGTTTCTCTAGAAGCTGTATTGGAAATAGAACACAAAGAAAGGACCATAGAAAAGAACCAAGTGAGATAATTTTAGAAGTTTTGTAACTGTTCTCATATAAGGATCTTGTAATCATTATTGCATCTGGCATCACTGAAAATGTTAGTATAGCTAGGATAACATGCAGATTCAGAATGCACACCCAGCAGTAGTACAGGTACAATATTGAACTATAGTGTTAATTTCTAACTCACTGCATCCATTTTCCATGTTTTAGGGCAGAATTCTCTATCTGTGGGGAAAAAAAATGCATTTTTCTAAATACTATTTATTTTGAATAGTGTTTAAAAAACAGAGTGCTAATTTTGCAGATAATGTTTCACAAAACCTGGACGAGATCACAAATAAACAGTGTTGGATGTGGACATGTTCTAAAATAATTTTTATGTTACTTTAATATATCATGTCCTTATAAATTAATACTGAGAATAGATAAGTATAAAAATGATGGAGCTGTTCAATTTTTGGACTACAACTGAAATGAAATATTTTTTTGATGCTTACTGACAATTGGATCTTTTTTGCTAAGAAGTACCTGTTCATGTCTTTTGCCTTTATGTTAGGTAACTAGTCTTTTCCTTGTTGACCATAGAGGCTTTCTATATATTCTGGCCATAAACGCTTTTATAGTTATATGCATTGCAAATCTAGGCAGTGAGATGTCTTTTCGTTTTTTTTTTTAAAAGGATTTATTTATGCATATAAGAACTGGGGTACAGGGTGGGGTGAGAGGACCTACTAGAGACACAGTAGGGAGCAGAACAGGCAGAATGACTGAAATATCCTAGTGAGGGGAGCAGCAGACAAGACAGGAGAGGTTTGCTGTGCCATGTGGGTTAGCTCTCTGGCCATTTTTCAGGATTGAACATATGCTGCAGTGGCTGTGGATAGCTTCAGGGTCTTTGCTTTAACCCCTTGCCCCACCAGGGAGGCCCCCTTTTCATTCTTATTAATGACTTGATGCATAGAAGTTTTACTTTTTAATTGTTGAATTTATCTTCGTTTTCTATCACATGTGCTTTTTGTCTTCTCCATGGAGGTAAAAAAATGTATTTTCTTTTAAAAGTTGAAATTTTGCTTTTAACCTTTAGGTTGCTAAACTGCCTTTTATTAATTCATGCGTATGTTCTAATTATGTATTTTCAGTAATCAACACTTTATGGCATGATCCATTTTTTCCCTTCCAGTTAGCAGTTTCAGTTTTTGTTAATTACTCTTAATTTTGACATACTAGATTTGCTGGTGCCAGATAATCTCTTGGTACTCTTTTTGAGTCTTAACAAGGAAACTTCATTGGTGTCTGAAGTCCATGATGCCAAATAGATATCTGCCGTGTCCATAGGCAGTGCTGAGGAGGAGAGGGTTTTTTTTAATCACTTCTGACAAACTGTTTTTGATAAACAGTGCAGTTACATTCAATGATTATTTTGATATTAATAACAATTTATTTTGTGTTTTCTATTCTGTTTTATCCTTTTTATTTTTTTTTAAAGATTGATTTATTTATGCATACAGAACTCGGGTACAGGCCAGGGGTGTGTGTGCATTGGTGGGTGTGTGTGTGTGTTGGGGGGTGTGTGTGTGTGACGATTCACCAGAGACAGAGTGGAGAGATGGGAGAGCAGTGAGTGGGACAGGAGAGGTCTGCCACACCATGTGAATCACTGTGGTAACTTTATAGTGCTGTGCTTTAACCTGTTGTGCCACGAGAGAGGGCCCCTGCTTTATCCTTTTATATTCTTACTTGATTTTCTTGGGATCTGTTGAATTTTAAAAACTGTATCATCGGGATATTTCTATTTCTGGTTATTTTAGTTATTGCTTTAAGTTACAATACTAGGAAGATTTAAATATAACTTTGCCCTCTTCCTGAGCTGTAAAGGGCCTTAGAACCCTCTTATTCTGCTTATTCCACCCCATATTACAAGTTATAGTTGTTAACTGTTTTAGTTCCATCTTCCTTTCTCACTCTGCAAATGAGACATTATTTTGATCTCATGGAATAAGTTATTTTGATATTTATCTGCATTGTTATTAGTTTTTTACTCATTGTCCTTTTTTGAGTTGCAACCATCATTAGGTTCATTTTCTGCTTCTTGAAGAACATCCTAGGCATTCCTCATACGGTCTGTTAGTGGTATACTCAATTTTTATTTGTCTAAAGACAGCTTCATTTAGAATGATTTTCAAGGGACAGTTTAGGGAGAAAACATTTTCCCTTCCCCTCACTGACTGCTTTTAATTTAAGCTCTGCTGTTCTTCAGTTTCTCTAGTGTCTTTGTAAGAGTTAGTTTTCCCTCTTGACTTGCATTTGTTGTACTTTCTGTACCTAACAGTTTATTTTCCATTAATTTTGGAAATTTCTTAGACATCATTGTTTCCAGTATTGCCTCTTGCATTTTCTCTATTATTTTCTGGAACTCTACTGAGTCATAGATAATCACCTTTCTCCCATATCACTTTGTGGTTCACATCCTAAAATTCAGTATTTCATTATCTGAAGTTCTTAAGAATATAATTCTGTTTTTGTTTCTTTCAAACTATTTCATGATTCTGGATTATAGTAGGTTTGATTGGTAGGGATTCTGTGAGGATATAAGTTCTTTAGAGAGTATTTACTTTTTTTTTTTAATGATTTATTTATGGATACAGAACTGGGGTACAGGCCAGAGAGGTGCAGGGGCAGTGAGAGGATTCACCAGAGTCAGAGTGGGGAGCAGAACAGGCTAACTGACGAAGTACACTGCTGAGGGGAGCAGCGGGCAGGTCAGGAGAGTTCTGATGTGCCATGTGGCTCACCTCCGGGGCGGGAGTCGAACTCATGCTGAAGTGGATTCAGCTTCTTAGTGCTGTGCTTTAATCCACTGTGCCACCAGGGAGGGCCCAAGAGCATTTACTTTTATTTATCCTAGGTTGTTTCATCTAGGCACCTGGTTATGCCACTAGCTCAAAACTACTATAATTTTTTGACTTAGGACTACTGGAATATGCAATTAATCTGTATTTGAATCTCAAATATGTAGAGATCAGATGTGAGTTAACATGTCCAGGGGAATCTTTCCCCCACATTTCTTGCCTATACTAAACGATTTCCCTCAGGTGGATCTTATCCAGTCTACCTTTTCTTTGAAGGTTTGAGCCTTCAGGGCTGTACAGGGATTCCATTCTCATATCACCCTTCCCTCCTTTGCTTAGGCCAAAGGTGTTTTCTTTTCAAACTGCAGTTGAAAACTACACCTCTAACTAATTGACACCAGCAAATATCCTCAAGGAAACCACAGTTTCAACATCAGGTTATCAAGCTGATTTCCAGCTCCTTGTTTGTTTTTGGTACTTGGGAAATATTCTTAAGAGATTCACTGTCCCTTTAAAAGTATGTTTGTGATGTTTTATCTAGAATGTCAATGTGTGTTGGGAATTTTTTTGTTTGTTCAAGGATATCGAGTTCCATATATTGTTAGAAATAAGATAACAAGAAGATTATCTTCAAGTAATGTTTTTTTTAACCCAAATACGCTGATATTCGTTCTTTTCCATCATTTTCAGCATTCTTTTCTTCTACAGAGAGATTTTAAATACTTACCTAAATTTCTTCTAATTTAGTTATGCCTTTAAAAAATAATTAATATATAACTAATGCTCAAACTAATCTGTTTAATTATCAAATTAATTATAAAATTAATTTGAAGGTACTTATGTAGGTAGAGGGCAATTAGAGGAAATAAAGGGTGGAAAAGAACTTTTATTTTCAGTGATGTGTATTTTATGTTCACTCATTTAATGTTTGCAACAACCTTATCTTGATTTTATGACTAGATAATCTGAACCTCGGAGAAGTTAAGTCATTTGGTTGGTGTCATAGAATTAATGAGCAGCAAACCTGAATTGAAATTGTTAGGTGGCAATGATGTCCTGAAGGAACTCTGCAGAGTTCTGTGGACTCCACCCCCTACTCTAGTTTTTTAAACTCCACTCTCTACTCCAGTTATTGAAACTATAACTCCTAATAATACCATGGAGAGAACTGTGAGGACCCCAGGGTGGAGCTAAGCAGGCATTCTGGAACTTTTGGGGGAGATATAAGGGAGCCAAGTGAGAGGCTCTTGCTCTCTGGACCACATGGCTCTCTGGACCAGGGGCACGCTCTGGACTGAGTGACTGGTGGCTGGCTGGTCGTTTGGCTCTTGATGAGCTACAGTGTATTGGAGTTCCAAGCCAGTGGAGCTGGTAGGATGTTCTAGTTAACTTGTATCTTCCTCTCTTTCCTTGGGTTGTACCTTTTCCTTTCCCTTTTATAAGTAAACCCATTATTGATCCTTTTTATGTGCGCCTGCAGTACAACTGAATTTTAAGCGTGCGGGTGAGGACCCACAGACAGGCAACCAGGTTCACAGTGGGTTGCCCTGTAAAAAAATCTGTTGATATTTTTTAGTCATTCATGCGGTTTGTCATTAAATCTGAACTTCACTATTCAGGCCTTCTTATCTGCTTTTTTATTATTTCTGCATTAAACATATATAGAAATAATTTTGAGATGCTAGGGAATTAAGAAGGAAGATGTATACCAGTTGTCAGAATAAAAGTTTGTTTAATAGCAGATAGAAAAGAAGAACCAGGGGCCCTCCCTG